TGTTAATCTCTGGAGGAATCTGCACCCAGGGAATGTGTCTCTGGGAATCTAAATCTGACAGGGTTAAAGCAACAAGCTATTTTTCATGTTGCTCTGCTCCATCATCACAGAATCCCAGCCTGGTTTGGGCTGGAAGGGATCTTAAAGCCCATCCAGCTCCAACCCCTGCCACGGGCAGGGACCCCTTCCACTAGAGCAGCTTGCTCCAAGCCCCTGTGTCCAACCTGCCCTTGAACACTGCCAGGGATGGGGCAGCCACAGCTTCTCTGGGCACCCTGTGCCAGCGCCTCAGCACCCTCACAGGGAAGAGCTTCTGCCTAAGAGCTCATCTCAGTCTCCCCTCTGGCAGGTTAAAGCCATTCCCCTTGGCCTGTCCCTACATCCCTTGTCCCAGGCCCCTCTCCAGCTTTCCTGCAGCCCCTTCAGGCACTGGAGCTGCTCTCAGGTCTCCCCTTCAGGAGCCTTCTCTTCTCCAGGCTGCCCCAGCCCAGCTCTCTCTGCCTGGCTCCAGAGCAGAGCTGCTCCAGCCCTCGCAGCATCAGGATATCTTAATGCCAGGTAGGACCAGGTGGGATCAGGGGAGGGTGGAACAGAGAAAGCTATGCAGTGACGTGGTTTTCAGACACAGTGCTCACAAACAGGAGGCACGGGGGTATTTTTCTCCCTGGTAGTAGCAGTCCACATCCATTTCCCATCGCACTGACTGGAGACAGAGTTCAAGAGCTTTACTTCTGAAGCATCTAAACAACCAGTCTCTGCAAGCAGGCAGCAGATTCCCAAGAGCCACAGTGACCCCTCGGAAGACGATGGGAATCTTCTGGCTTTTCCTGCCTGGTTCAGTGAAGGCATTTGCAGGATAGACCCTTGCAAACAGCGGATTGCACACCCCCTTTGCAATGTGTGTGCTCTACCTCTGCAGCCCTGGCTTCATTCACGCTATGCTGCTGGGTCATGCGTGGTGTCCATCCCAACGGGTAAGAGCTGCACTGCACCAAGTGATGCTGGAAAACAAACAGATCCAGACCAAAAACCTGAAGCAGAGGTTAAACATAAGCAGGCAGAGAGGCCACGAGACCAGAGCAGGCAAACCAAAGGGAGGGGAGATGTGTTGCAAACCTAAACCCGCTCGGATTAAGCATCTAATCACCACACAGAGCAATCCTATTGAATCAAACAGCGATGGATTAACGTGCTGGAAGCCAGCCCGCCACGCACAGGCTGTGCTTTGCCAATGGGACATCACAGCCCTTGGCAGAAAACAACCCTTCACCTGCTGAGTTTCTGATCTTTCGTCTCTTGCCCTTGGAATAGTTCACATTTCACACCACAAAGTTCATTAAAGCCACTTTTCCACAGCAGCCAAGCGAGGAAAGGAACAAATGAGCACCCGAGCCCGCCCCACACAGACTAACCAAGGGCCTGAGAGGCACCCCAGCTCCATGGAGCCTCAGAGCCTGCCAAACCAGCTCCAGGCTCACCCTCTGAAGGGCACTAATGAAGTTTAAACCCGCCGTTCCAGGCTGAATGGGGAGCTCCTGCAGAGAGCAGGGTGTACCTCGCCCTTTCCAAACGCAGCAGACCCAGGTCCCACTCCCTGCAAAGTTGTGTTTTGCAAGAGAGGTTGTTCAAGGTCTGCACGGATGCAGTTTTCCCCCAGGAGCAGGAAGCTGTGCAATGGGATGACCTTGGCGTGCTGTGCTTCGGGATGTTTCTACATGTACCACCAGGCAGATCACACCAGTTTACCAGGAGTCTGCTTCAAAGGATGCACTATGCCTTCTTACTTCTGCTTACATTTTGGAATGGCTTCATCCTCCAGTGCTCCTTGTCACTCCCAGCCCCACAGGACAGAGGATTTGGCTGTCAAAGGCTACTACAACTCTGCATGAGTGGTTACTCATCTCCTGGTAAACCTGTGAGCTAAAAGAGGGGGGGGGGAAACTCAATCTATTTAAATCAAGGAAAGCAATTCCAAGCAACAGCACCCATCCCAAAGGATGGTGTAGAAGGAAGCCCAGAAACTCCTGGCTGTGTTACAGAAGGGCAGTGTGTGATAAGCAAGCTTTGGCCAGGCAGCAGCCTCACCACAATTAAAGCAGTTTCCAATGGGATCAAGTCACCCTGGGCTTAAGGGCTCAAAGAACATTTTGATGGTGGTGGGAAAACCAGGGATTGGTTTTGATGGTAACATGGAAAGTTTTAGCCCTACAAAGGCAGAAATACAGCTACTGAACTGAGAGGACAACGAAAGAAAAAAGAGCCAGACCAGGAAAAGAGCTGGGGAAAAGCTTTCCTCTCCAGGATGCATTGACTACAGAGGGCTTGCATCCCTGTCATTAACCTGTTCCACTTTGAAGCACCAGACACCCACAGCCAGCAGCTGCAGCCCTAACAAGAGGTGTTATTGTCCACCAGGCACCAGCTTTCCACTCCTTTTCATTCCCAGGAGGGCAGCAACTACAATGTGGCTGCAGAGGTGATCCCAAAGCTCAACAGTAAGATTGGCATGGCTTTAATTAAAAAGGGATGTTCATCACTGCACCAAGCTCAGAAACACACTGAATCCCAGCCTGGTTTGGGTTGGAAGGGACCTTAAAGCTCATCCAGTCTCAACCCCTGCCACAGGCAGCGACAGCTTCCACTGGAGCAGCTTGCTCCAAGCCCCTGTGTCCAACCTGGCCTTGAGCACTGCCAGCAATGGGGCAGCCACAGCTTCTCTGGGCACCCTGTGCCAGCGCCTCAGCACCCTCACAGGGAAGAGCTTCTGCCTAAGAGCTCATCTCAGTCTCCCCTCTGGCAGGTTAAAGCCATTCCCCTTGGCCTGTCCCTACATCCCTTGTCCCAAGCCCCTCTCCAGCTTTCCTGCAGCCCCTTCAGGCACTGGAGCTGCTCTCAGGTCTCCCCTTGAGGAGCCTTCTCTTCTCCAGGCTGCCCCAGCCCAGCTCTCTCAGCCTGGCTCCAGAGCAGAGCTGCTCCAGCCCTCGCAGCATCTCCATGGCCTCCTCTGGCCTCGCTCCAGCAGCTCCACATCCCTCTTGTGCTGCTGCCCCAGAGCTGGATCAGGGCTGCAGGGGGGGGTCTCCCCAGAGCACAGCAGAGGGGCAGGATCCCCTCCCTGAGCTGCTGCTCACGCTCTGGGGGTGCAGCCCAGCACACAGGGGCACACAGTGTCCATTTTGCAGTTCTCCCTTCAAGGGCTGGAAGTGGCAATGAGCTGCACTGAATTTGGAAGCTCATTTTCCAGACCTGCTTCTCCCAGCTTCCCTCCTTGCATCCCCTCTTCTAAGAATCTGTTCTGCTACAAAAACTTTCACAAATGGTGTCTCAGGGACTGCAGCAGTGCCTAGACTGAGAAATGCTGCTCTAGGGAGGCCATTAGCACCGGCAGGGCATGGTTTGGGGGGGGGTGTGTGTGGGGAGGTGTTAATCATAGAATCATAGAATAATTAGGGTTGGAAAGGACCTTAAGATCATCCAGTTCCAACCCCCCTGCCATGGGCAGGGACACCTCACACTAAACCACATCACCCAAGGCCTTGTCCAGCCTGGTCTTGAACACTGCCAGGGATGGAACATTCACAACCTCCCTGGGCAACCCATTCCAGTGCCTCACCACCCTAACAGGAAAGAATTTCCTTCTTATATCCAATCTAAACTTCCCCTGTTTAAGTTTTAACCCGTTACCCCTTGTCCTGTCACTACACTCCCTAATGAAGAGTCCCTCCCCAGCATCCCTATAGCCCCCCTTCAGACACTGGAAGCTGCTCTGAGGTCTCCATGTGACTTCTCTTCTCCACGCTGAACAGCCCCAGTGTTCTCAGCCTGGCTCCATACAGGAGGTGCTCCAGTCCCTGATCATCCTCGTGGCCTCCTCTGGACTTGTTCCAACAGTTCCATGTCCTTTTTATGTTGAGACACCAGAACTGCACACAATGCTCCAGGTGAGGTCTCACAAGAGCAGAGCAGAGGGGCAGGATCACCTCCTTCGCCCTGCTGGTCACGCTCCTTTTGATGCAGCCCAGGATACAGTTGGTTTCTGGGCTGCAAGCGCACACTGAAGCCGGCTCATGTTCAGTTTCTCATCAGCCAACACCCCCAAGTCCTTCTCCTTGGGCTGCTCTGAATCTCTTCTCTGCCCAACCTGTAGCTGTGCTGGGATTGCTCCCACCCAGGTGTAGGACCTTGCACTTGGCATGGTTAAACTCCATGAGGTTGGCATCAGCCCACCTCACAAGCGTGTCAAGGTCCCTCTGGATGGCATTCCTTCCCTCCAGGGTATCAACCGACCCACACAGCTCGGTGTCATCGGCAAACTTGCTGACGGCGCACTCAATCCCACTGTCCCATGTCCATGGCAGTGACAAAGATGTTGAACAAGATCGGTCCCAACGCTGATCCCTGAGGGACCCCACTCGTTACTGGTCTCCAGCCGGACACTGAGCCATTGACCACAACTCTGTGTGTGCGGCCATCCAGCCAGTTCTTTATCCACCGAGTGGTCCATCCATCAAATTGATGTCTCTCCAATGTAGAGACAAGGATGTCGTGTGGGACAGCGTCGAACGCTTTGCACAAGTCCAGGTAGATGACATCAACTGCTCTACCCCTGTCCATCAGTTCTGTAGCAAAACTGCCTTGGATCACTCCCTACATTACCATGAGGTAAGCCATGCTGCCAGGGGAATGGAGGAACACGGGGTCAGGGATGAGTGGTTCAGGGATGAGTCTCAGCCCATTCTGGCTGCTCAGAAACACGATGATGCAGAACACAACCCAGGACAGAACAAGCTGCAGCTCTCGGGAGCTCTTCAGACTTGGTGGGGTTTAAATCCACAAAGCAGGAGGTTTGTACTCCTCTAACGAGTATTTACCCATGGAAACCCCAGTGATCCCTTGACAGAAGGTGCTGTGCTGATGTGTTGATGTGGAGGGCTGGATGCTGGCTGGATCACCCCTGCACAACCACCTCCATCCCTTGGGAAGCACTTTGCTGGGGCTCATGTCTCCTTTCAGCTCCATAAGGCTCACAGCCCTGAGGAGGAAACTCACTCCAGCCCAGGACCAGCATTCTGAGACTTCACCAGCTGCTCTGAGCGCTTGCCCTGGTTTCTCCAAGGGGATGATGAAAACAGGGCTGGGTTTTTTTGGCTCCAGGCAAGGTTTTTGCAGAGCTTTATCAAGGACAAACCGCTCCTCAACTACCAGGGACCACATCTGATAGAAGCACCTGGGGCAGGTGACAGCAGAGCCTCTCCTGCCTGCGCTGGGTTGTTAGCTCTGTTGACACAACACCATCAAAGGCACCTTCCCCATAGCTCACAAGGGGAAACCTGAGCCTTAAACTCCAGCAGCTCCCACTCAAAGCACTGAGAGAGGGCCTGGGGGAAGAACAGAGCCAAGAACAACCAACAACCAACGTGGGAGAGGGCTTTTTGCACACTTACGGGGTTGGGTTAAGGCTACCTGGGAGGTTTGCAGGGCAAACTTGAGGCTGATGGGCTCTGCTCATTTACAGGCTAAAGCAGGGAGCATCGGCTGCTCTGATGTGGCTGTGCCTTGACACTGAACATGGACAGAGGGGATCAGAGCATTTAATGAACGAGGTTTACCTCCAAGGCTGGTTTTATCCTCAAATCCTGAGGGACATGAACAGCTTTCCCATCTCCCAGCGAAAACAAAGGCAGCATGAGTGCAGGGAGAGCAAACCACCAGGAAACAGGTCCTGGAGTCCCACCTCCCCGGCGGAAGGGTGGGCACATGGAGAGCCTCCCATAGCAAACAGGAAGAGCAGAGCCACGAGTCTCCTGAGTCCCCTGATAGCACAGTGGGATCTCACAGTGGGAAAACACACAGCACCAAGGGGGGAACTGGGGCCTTTCCAGCTCTCCTGCCTCCCCAGGTACCTGGAGAGGAGATGGGATCGTGCTTGGCTGCGGGTGATAAAGCAGAAACAACAGGGAGGATGTGCAGATCCTGCAGAACTTCAGCTCACGTTCCTCTCCCTCAAAGACCTGCTCTTTGTAACACCATTCCTGACTCTGCCAGCACAGCAAGAGGCTTGGTTTGGGAAAGAAAAGCTTTCCATCTCTGTCCCTAAGCCCCTGGGAGCATGGGCAAACCTCCTGGCATTTTTCTCTCTGGTTTATAAAAGGTATTTCCCAGTTTGGTGCAGGCAGAGGCCAAGTGCAGGGCTCCCGAGAAACATAAACTAACAAATACAGGAAGGGAGAAAGTCTGCAGGAACACAGAGTCTGGAACAGCACAGCAGGCCAGAAGGAAAACTGCCTGCGGATATGGATACACCTCGAAGTTATCCCCTGCAGCCCAAGGAGGACACAACAGGAGAGAGATGATGGGGAAGGTCCTGGGTCAGTGCTGGTGGCCGAGGCAGCCTCTGCCAGCAGCATTCATTGCAGAGATGGACAGGATCTCATCCAGAGTGCTTCACAACCACATGGAAACAGGACAAACCTTCCCTGCCACCAGCACAGCCTGCATCAGCCAACTCCAAGCCCACGCCAAAGCCTCCACACTATGGGAACCCCAACATCCCCCATTGCATGAAACCCTGGTACTCCCCATCCCAAAGGGGTTTGGTTTCTTCCCTGGCTGTTTCAGCTGCACAAGAGCTTGTTTTGGGGGGAGCACCAGAGGATTATTGCCACCAAAGCCACCCTGCGTGCGCCCTCTCTGCGGGAGCGGCGTGCTGCAGCTTGAGTCAGAGTGGAGACTAACCCTTGCCTCCAGCTGCATCAACAGACTCCAGTGTAAACCACCTCCAGCCCTCTCTGTCAGGTTCTCCTCTGTGCAGATAGGCTCCAAGTCAAACAAGTGCCCAGGTTAATTATGCAAATCGAGAGAGAATAAAGCAAGCATCCCTAACACATGGAGAAAGGCTCCTGCCTCCCAGAGACCACCTACCCTGGGATAACATTGCAGCCTTCCCACGTAATGCCAGGGCCATTAATTACAGCTCTCCTCCTGCTCTGGCAAGGCTCCTGTGTGGGAGTGGAGGAGGTGGAAAACAGCTCCAAAGTGGCCAAAAGAGCTTGAGGGAGAAGGGTTGAGAGGCATTCCTGTTCACGTGCCTAAAATAGAGATCCTGCTGCCTTTACGCCCTCCTTTGTAGAGCGTTGAGCCCCACCAGGAAAAAGCACTATATAAAAGCCAGGCGTTGACTCTCTTGTTCTGCACCAGCCTAATAAGCCCAAAGTCAATGCCATTGTTTTAGATCTAAGCACAAAAATACTTTGAAACCTCAAAAATTAGGGTTTTTGGAAGCAATTATCTCCCTCCTCCTCTCTGAGACTAAAAGCAACACAGGCCAATTACTGCTTTGAAGGCTAAATATTTACTGCTGGGTGAAGTGCAGCAGCTCGGGCTGGAGAGGAATCATCCAGCTCTGATGTCATCTCATGCCTACAAGGAAGAAAACCCAAAGGAAAAACAGGTATGAACAAACAACAACAGAAAAGCCCTTTGGAGAGGGGAAAGGATGAAGTGGGTTCAGCTCACCCATGTCCAAGGCATTTAGTGTGGCCCTGGCACTGTTCTCCCAGTCGCTTTAGGTAGCCCTACCCAGGTCTCATTAGATAAGATGCTCACGCTTAATGAGGGTGCAAGGAGAGTGTGAGCCAAGCTCTCTGAGCAAGAACTGGCCTCGTGGAAGAGCCGGTGCCTTATCCTGGAGCAAGACCTACCCTATAGAGTCCGTAGGGGCAGGTGTGGGAACTCCTCAAGCTCCAGCAGCAATTAGCCTGCACACAGCAAGGGTTCATCCATCAATGTCAGCTCTTGTAAAGAGTAACAGCCCTCCTGCCTTATTTAGCTCTGACTCCTGAGTTTCAAAGCTCTCAGCTTTTGCCCCCTCCAGCCACTATTCTTTCCCAGGCAGCGGATGCCAACCCTACGGTTAAGGGCACCAAGGGATAAAAAGAGAGCAGTTATGTGTAAGACACAAAAAGGAGAGCAGTGATGTGTAAGATACAAGCAGCTATGTGTAAGATAGCACCAGGGGCACAAGCAGGGAGTGACTCATCTCCTCTGCAGACCAAGGAACAAGAGCTCTCTGTTTGGTGAGCCTGCCTGAAGTTTCAGTTGCGATCCCATCTCGCTCCACGCGCTCGTGACAGCATGCAGAAAGATTTCCTCGGGGGATCTTCCCATGGGACTTAACTCTGACACATATTCCCACAGGACTCGTTCTTTACAAAGTGTAATCTGTTAGTAAGGCACTGGGAATCTGACTCGGTGAAATACCAAGAGGGTGAGTGAGCGGAGCTGGGTGCCGGCGGCTGGAGCCACGGACACGACTGCGAGTCGTGCCCCGCATTCAATGCGACGGAAGAACTCGCTGGGCTGGAAGAATAGATGTCCTGGGTCAGAGCAGAGGTCTGCATGGCCCAGTATCCTGTTTATGCTACCCATGGCCTCTTCTCCACCCCTGAGCACAGGGAGATTGCTCCAGCAGGGAAGGGGGAAGAGTGAGAGCCAGTTTTCACATACATGCAGGCTGTGGTTGCTTTTCTCTCAATCCATGGCTGGTTAATTCTCACATGCAGTGGATGGGCAGATGCAGGAGTCAAACTATGCTGGGTATCAGTCTGCACAAGCAGCCATCAAGCACTGAGTTACATGTTAACATGTCAAAGTGACAGCCCACCAATTCCCAGAGGACACCAGGATGCAGAAACATCTGGATCTGGGAGGACTTCATATAAGGGAAAGAAGTGTCAGACAAGAAAATACAACTTTAAACAATAACTGAATAATCCACAACACTTAAGAGTACAACGGAGGAGGATCTGCACCCAAGCAGACACATCAGCAAGGAGTGGCCGCTGGATGCTGAGCTCCTTTTCTTCCTCCTACTCTTGGTTGCACATCAAGCCTTCACTGCAATCACTGCTTTAATACTGACTTTCCTCCCCCCAGTTCTTCTGCTTGTCTCCAGAGTTATTTCAGTCAGACTGAGAAGCAGAAGGAAAACAAGCACAGTGTGTGTGTGTGTGTGTGTGTGTGTGTGTGTGTGTGACATGGGGAGTCCGAACCCCAGGGTGGGAAACCAGGGCTGGTGTTTTCCTGCCCTGAGCATGGGGACTGCAGGAATGTGCCTGCTTTCCCACGCTGTGGGTAGCCCGCACGGGCATGTCTCCTCCACTCCTCAACATACCTGAGGTGGCGGCTACCAAGGTTATTAAAGAATACAAATCTCTCGGCTTTGAGACATCCATTATTAACAAAACAGGCTCTTGTGGGCACAGGGAAGTGTCACTCATCCCGCACGGCACGAACCGGCACCGAGATGCTCCTCCAGACAAAGAGGAACAACCCAGCACAGTGCTGCACGGACAAGGATACTGAAGTCTGTGGCCAAAACCAACCCCAATATCACCTGAAAACTGGTCAGATAGTGATAAAACACATGGGGAAACCCAGCCTGAGAGCAGCCATCGCAGGGCTGAGGAGGGTTTTACATGTCTGATAGTGGCATTTCTCACCTGAAGCCAGGGGCCGGATCCACTCCTTGCTGTTCAGGTCGAGTCTCCAGAGGTCGTTGAAGGCAGCGTTACAACTGCTCTGTGTGCAGCCACCAAACACGTACATGGACTGGTTAGAGTCATAGTAACACGCACCTGGAGAACAGAAACACATCAGGCAAGGCCCTGACATTTGTGTTTTGGGGTGAAAAGAGAGATCAGTCTCCCCTCGGGCAGGTTAAAGCCATTCCCCTTGGCCTGTCCCTACAGGCCCTTGTCCAAAGTGCTCTCCAGGTTTCCTGCAGCCCCTTTAGGCACTGGAGCTGCTCTAAGGTCTTTCCTCCTGTTCCATACAGAACAGCAGATGGGCTGCCCCAACTTCAATAAAACCACGGGCCAGGTTAGGGATATCCCTGAGCAGCATAAACCTCCAGCAAGAACCTTATCCCCTCAAGCAGAGCTGCTCCTGAAAGTGCAAGGAAAGCTGCCTTAGTAGCCTGCAGTTAATGAGATCAGCTATGATTAGCACTCAGCACTCCTCCCTTCTCTGAGCTCATTCCTATGATGTCCAGGGTCACCAGATGAGACTAAGAAACCAGCCTGTGCACCCAGCCCTTCACTTACTGCTTTTTCCAGATCTGACAGCATTTCGTAGAATTATTTGTGTTGGAAAAGCCCTTTCAGCTCATCCAGTCCAACCATTCCCCAGCACTGCCAAGGCCACCCCTAACCCACGGCACTGAGGCCTCATCTCCACGGTGTGTGAACACTTGCAGGGACAGTGACTGCAGCCCTGCCCTGGGCAGCCTGTTCCAATGCCTGAGCACCCTCTGGGGCAGGAATTGTTCCTCAGCTCCATCTAAACCTGCCCTGGTGCAGCTTGAGGCCGTTTCCTCTTGTCCCATCCCTTGTTCCTTGGGAGCAGAGCCCAGCCCCTCCTGGCTCCATCCTCCTGTCAGGCACTTGTAGGGAGCCATCAGGTCCCCCCTGAGCCTTCTCTTCTACAGACTGAACCCCCCAGGTCCCTCAGCCATTCCTCATCAGACTCTAGACCCTACTTTCAGCATCACTGAAACACATCCTACACAAGCATTCCCTCTGCTCCTTATGGGAAAGGATTAGGCAGCGAGATGGGGAACAGGGAGGGAACACAGCACTTGATGGCCCTCCAAAGATACCCAGGGAAATAAAGAGCGTTTGGCCCCAAACCAAACTCTGCAGGAAAAAGAAATTATATGCAAGTGTCTGCCTTTGGCAGTGCCCCATGGCACCCAGGCACCTCTGCCGGGAAATACATTAAACATGAGAGCAGAGAGGACTTGCTCAGCTTTTCTGCCTTGGAGGATGAGGAAGATTCAAACGTGTTCAGAAAGTTAAATCCCTGCAGCTACAAAGAGGATTTCCCAAGTTCTTCATTTCCCTCCTCAAATACAACGAGCCCCATTGACTTTATAGAATCCCAGCCTGGTTTGTGTCGAAGGGACCTTAAAGCTCATCCAGCTCCAACCCCTGCCACAGGCAGGGACCCCTTCCACTAGAGCAGCTTGCTCCAAGCCCCTGTGTCCAACCTGGCCTTGAACACTGCCAGGGATGGGGCAGCCACAGCCTCTCTGGGCACCCTCACAGGGAAGAGCTCCTTCCTGCAGCGCTGGTCAGAGCTGCTCTCCAGTTCAACAATAAAAATAGATTCAGATGATGTGACCTGAGGGGACACGGGATGCTCGGAGCTTGCACAGACAGAAAGGCTTGTTTCCCTTTTGGAAACAGCAGCCAGAAAAGAGAAGAAATGGAGCCTATAAAAGGAGCATCTGGAGCAAAAGGCTGATAACCTACTTTTGGTAGCAAGAGAAAAGGGCTCACAGCAAATCCCCACGAGAAGTCCCTGCTCTCAGCTTTGCTCTAGGCCAGTACAAGCACGTCCCTGGTTTCCAGTGATCCAACACCACAGCCTCACTTTTGCAGGCTGGAAGGAGGTAATTCCAGTGTGGAATTGCTGTGTAATACATCCCACCCCTACGTACACCAGTGACACTCATCCTGCTGCGTGCTCAGCACCATGCTGGGACACAATGACACCTGGTGGTCTTTGCTGAAGGTCCCATGGTCTGATCCCCTATTGAAAAGCCAGCAGCCCTCATGCCCTGGGCTATTAGGGATGAGTCCAGGGTGCTTTGCTGACCACCGGGTAGGAATGGGGGAGCTGGGGATATGGGATGTGCTCACAGGGTGAGACCACACAACCTATCCCTATCTACAGTGTCCTTATGTGCAACTGAACTGTCTTCATCGCAGCCCACATCTTGGTGAAGGATTTAATACCTCTAGCGCCACAGGCCATCGCTTTGGAGCTCTGTCTGGGTTGGAGGATACATAAATGATGGTGAAGTGCATGTGCCTGGCACTGGATTGAGGAAGAAATCACGATGAAGAACAGTTTTAGTGCTTTAGCTGCTCCCTGAAACTCAGCCCTGCCTCATTTTCACACAGCAGACCCTTGGAGGTCACCTCCACCCAGCACAGGGTGAGGTGCTTCACACCCTAAGCCCATGCAGTTAACACCCAGCACAAAGCAACACTGGGGCTTTTCTACTTCACCTTTCAGGAACGGCTTAGTTCCTTTAGAAATCTAATCCCCACCTCAAGCATGCCATGGTGAGAGCCTCTTCCTCCTCCCCACACCAGCCCCTTGGCAAGCTCAGCCTGCACACCGCAGCCCAGCTCCTCTATTATGTTGGAGGGGAGGTGGCAGCATTCTTCTCCTCTATTTGGCTTCAAACCCCAGGCCAGCCAGGCAGGCACCATGAGGCATTTTAATCCTAGACCGAAAGAAGTCAAACTTACTGTGCCTTGCTACTCCTTGTAAAGCTGCTGAAGCTGAGGAAGGCAGACTGGTTTGGGGAGGAAAAAGGACATTAGGGGTCAAGGAGGAAACAAAGCACAAATGAAAGCTGCAGTTTAAACCAGGCTTGCAAAGGGGTAGAATAAATCAAGGGAGGAGGGTGTGAGTCCCTGGTGCCCAGAAAAGGGTGAACACTGGATTTTGGGTTGATTTTTGTCAAGTGCCAGTAAAATTCAGTGTCCCCCATGTTTCAGTATTGCAAACACACAGATCTGTGTAACTGGAAACGAGGGCAAGAAATATTTGGGCTGTTTGAAGATGCTGATACCTGAACAGAGCACAGATGCAGCTGGATTTGAACGTGTTCCTCTTGGCCCTCTGTGCTGCACCACGAAGCATCAGAGACCTTTGCCTGGAGCATGAGATAACTGAAAGGAAGATCAAGTGGGAAGGGAAGACTGACTGCAGAGCACATGCCCTTTGTGGTACCTGGCTTTTTAAATGTCGAGTACACCAAATAAAGTCACCTGAGTTCAAAGGCTGCATTCCCCATTGGAGAGAGGGGAAGGAGTCAGCTTGGCTATTGGAATCCCAGTGCAGCTAAAGGCTGACAGCCCTCGGTGTCGGCATTCCCAGGAGGAGCCGGCCAAGCTGATGCTACAAGCGTTGTACATCGAGCTGCTGGCACTGGGACTGGAGGTAACCTCTCCACACCCAACCACACTTGGCACCGGAGCCATGGATGGTGGCGCCGAGGAGGACGGGCTGCAGATGAAAGCTCCAGGTCCTGCTCTGCACCAACCACACGGGCGTTGTGGCATGATAAATACCCAGCATTGCTCACAAAGCCCAGCTCCACACCCCTTCAGGGGGAAAAACCCCACCGAGCCACCTCCTGATGCTCTAAACCACCATTTCCCTGCTCCTTGCAGTGCAGGCACTCAATGTAATCAAAAGGCAGGGCTCCATTGAGCAATGCTGGGTGATATGAGAAGCTCTGGTGTAAAGCAGCCCATCCTGTAAACCAAACAACATTCCGGCTTCCACCTCGCCCCTGCCTCTCAGGGTGAAGGCAGGGAATTGCTTTTGTTAGTCATCAGGCTGCTGCCACTCTGCCCAGACTGCACGGAAAAACCAGAATCAGGCTTTAAAATTAGTCACTCTTCCATCAAAGGATCAATATTCCTGGCACAACGGGCGGCATTCCTCTGCTGCTTCCCCCTTCCTGCATTCCTCCTGACGTGGCATTCTGACCGGGGCCAGTTATTTAACCACATGAGTCACTGCCCTGCTATGATGTTTGTAGGTTCATACTTTAGGGCTAAAAAGGAATTAGATGACTCCTGCAAACATCAGACCTGGTGGTCGGCTCAAAAACCTCCATGGGAAGTGTTTCTCTGGCTGAGATGGGACACTTAGACCTGAAAAGCCAACATCATTGCTATAGGCTGATGTTCTGCAGCTTTAAATCCTTCATTAAAACTACAGCTCATCCATGAGGCTTGTTATCAGTTGTGTGAGCTTTGCCAAACGCTCCCTCCCCACGAGACCAGATGAAGGGAACATCCATTCATTATTCCTTATCAAACGGTTCTGCTGTTCCTCCCTTCGGAACTGAGAAGACATTTTGACCTCCAACTGTTTAGAATTCTCTTCCTCGTCCTTTTATGCTCCGTAAGAGCATTTGTGGGATAGTTCTAATAAATCCTGGAAGTCAGACAGCCCTGACCACTGTTTTGGTGCCAGCTCCTGCTGTCTGTTGCCTTCAGTGGCTCATGCCTGGGAGATGACGTCTTCTACATGAACTGGTGCATTACTCACCCCTAGAAAGGGATTTATGAGTCCCAAACCTCCTGTTCTTATTCACCTCAGCATCTCAGTAGTTTAGGTTTAAAGATTCAGTTGGAGTTTCTGCAATGAATCATTTGCAGCTTCAGTTTAATGCAGAAACCCAGCAACACGCGATGCTTTGGTGGACGGAAAGCAGCTACTGCAGATCTGCTTTAAAAAAATCCCTTTAAATCAGCAAACAAGTTAATCCAGATTAGCTTTCTGCACACAAAGTGCATTAATAACGCTTGGGGAGCAACTGAGGGCTGACCAGAGCCAGGACAGCATCAAACAGAGAGGCTAATCCAGATGACATGCTCCGAGGGCAGCGGCTTTAGGGAGACAGCTCACGTTGGAGGGAGCGTAACAGCAAAGCCCCCAGTGGGCAGCAGGATAAACTACAGAGCACTCAGGGTCTTAGGAGCAGTACCGGGGCCTATTTCAAGAATTCCCAGCCAGCCTTAAAGCTCGCAGGTTGAAAAAGGCTGCAAGAACTGAGGGGCAACACACTCGGATTGGGAAGTCATTAACAAGTACTTTGTGAACACTTCACACCAAGCTACGAACAGTGGGGACCTGCGTTCTTCAGGAGGACAAGGAAGTCTTTAAAGAGCTCCACAGCTTCACCAGAGATTCCTGCAGTGTCTCCTGGGGATGGAAGCCTTGTCCTATGTGACCGTGCCACCAGGCAGAGCAGGCTGAGGCAGCGCGGTGCTGCTGCACTACAGGCAAGTTCTATTTCAGTATCAATTCAAGGCCAGGTTGGACACAGGGGCTTGCAGCAAGCTGCTCTAGTGGAAGATGTCCCTGCCTGTCGCAGGGGGGTTGGACTGGATGAGCTTTAGGGTCCCTTCCAACATAAACCAGTCTGGGATTCCATGATCTTTTCCTCAATAGGAATGCTTTTTGCTGTTCTCTTGCAGAAACTTGGAAGCAGGGTGAAACTTCACCCATACATAAGCAGTGTGAACTGAATCACTTCTATGAGCAAATACACTCGTGTCTCATGTGTGGCTGTGTTTTAATCTGAAGGAAGCCATACTTGGCCCCCTACAAATCCATCTCCTGCATCTGTGAGTAACAGATCTGCTGTAAAAGCAGCCAGCACATGCCCCAAGCGTGGTGAGTGTGCAAACTCAGGGGTGTTGATTTAATGGCCTGAGTCTAGCAGCTAAGTGAGGTTTCTACTGAAGAAGGCACAAAGCTCAGGCTCAGAGTTATGGGAAGAAACCCGCATGTAAAATACACAAAATCATCTTCTTCCCTGTGAGGGTGCTGAGGCGCTGGCACAGGGTGCCCAGAGAAGCTGTGGCTGCCCCATTGCTGGCAGTGTTCAAGGCCAGGTTGGACACAGGGGCTTGGAGCAAGCTGCTCTAGTGGAAGGGGTCCCTGCCTGTGGCAGGGGTTGGAGCTGGATGAACTTTAAGGTCTCTTCCAACCCAAACCATCCCGTGATTCTATGAAAGCCAGAAAGCCAAGATCCCACCCCGGCTCCACAGACATTCCCAAGGAGCAATGAGCCAACAACAATGACAAGCAGCTACTAAACCCCCATCCCTGTGCAAAGCATTGGTGCTGGCAGAGCTGTGTGTTACGGTGCTGCAGTGACAGGGGTCTGCAGCACTGCTGGATCCCAAGGGATGCAGCACACACCCCTGGCCTGCAGTGTCCGGTGGCAAACCAGGGTGAGCAGAGCTTTCCCAGCAGGTACTTACTGTGTGAGAAGCGCTGGGTGATGGGGGTGCCGGGGTAGGGGTAAGTGCGGCTCTCCCACTGAATGTTTCCTTCTTGCACTGCTTTGATAAAGCCGTGATAGCACTGATGGGCCACGCCTGGGGAGAAACGAGAGAGCAGCAAAATTGGGGCACATTAGGAACAAACTGTGCCTGCACAAGCAGCGTGACAGCAGCTAGAAAGAGCTCCTGTATTTAGACAGGCTGAGAGCTGGCTGGGGCAGCCTGGAGAAGAGAAGGCTCCTGAAGGGGAGACCTGAGAGCAGCTCCAGTGCCTGAAGGGGCTGCAGGAAAGCTGGAGAGGGGCTTGGGACAAGGGATGTAGGGACAGGCCAAGGGGAATGGCTTTAACCTGCCAGAGGGGAGACTGAGATGAGCTCTTAGGCAGAAGCTCTTCCCTGTGAGGGTGCTGAGGCGCTGGCACAGGGTGCCCAGAGAAGCTGTGGCTGCCCCATCCCTGGCAGTGTTCAAGGCCAGGTTGGACACAGGGGCTTGGAGCAAGCTGCTCTAGTGGAAGGGGTCCCTGCCCGTGGCATGGGTTGGAGCTGGGTGAGCTTTAAGGTCCCTTCCAACCCAAACCAGGCTGGGATTTTGTGATGAGTCTACAATTATAAATAAACTGGTGGGAATTTGGAGGATTACAGAGAATAGAAAATAGGGATTGGGTGAATGTGGCAACGAGCAATGTTCACTGAACCAACTCGCTGTGTTTCTGCTATCCATCCCCTCCAGCCTGGCAAACAAAGCCTGTTTGGGAAAAGTCAGCACATGTGATGCCTCAACAGGGCTGGTTTTCACTCTCCTCTGCTGCAGCTGAACCCTGCTGTCCCCTAATCACACCTCGGAGGAGCTGCTGCCCTTCCCTTTACAGACCTTCCAGGACAAACAACCTGCACCCTCTTAAAACCAGCTCTGGTCAGCCTCAGAGCTGTGTATGGAGCCCACGTGGCTGTGAGTGTGCTGAGAGCGGCTGGATCCTGCTCCCTGCCCACAGAGGAGCCTCTGGAGGAGTTCTGTGACTGCATGAAAGCTGGTGGCTTCTGCTCCACTACAGAGGATGCCATAACCTGCCAAGAGACTCTGCCAAGGATCTGCTTACTGGAAGCTCTGCTGGGAACAGCCCCAGTAAGGAATCACACTCTGGATACAAAGCAGGAAGTTTTATTAATGAAACGCAGGGTCCTCAAGCAGCTGGTCCCGGAGAGTGACGCAGGAGACAGGATCTAACTATAGGATTTGATAGCAGATGTATCCTGACAAACAGGAAAAATTAGCCAGGATTAAAGGAATCAATGCTTTACCTCGAGCGACCCCTCGCAGGTTGCACTTACACTGCCCTTTTGTGCTGTGATGGCCACAGAACCAGTACAGCTGCCCTATACCACACATCCCCTGGGATGGGGGACTCCAAGGACAGCTCCAAGGCCAGGCTGTGCCTTGGACTGCTCATCCCTCCCCTCCACTGCAGGGATGTTTCCCACAGTCTCTTTTGGGGTGAATCACAGGGTGTTTGATCCCAGCTGCATCCTTTGCATCTCTCAGGCTGTTCCAGGAACAAGCCCTGGGTGAGAAAGTGCATCCAGGCAGCAACTCAAGGGCTGCTGACACTTGAAATCATAGAATCCCAGCCTGGTTTGGGTTGGAAAGGCCTTAAGATCATCCAGGTCCAACCCTCTGCCATGGGCAGGGACACCTCACACTAAACCAGGTCACCCAAGGCTCTGTCCAACCTGTCCTTGAGCACCACCAGGGATGGAGCATTCACAACCTCCCTGGGCAACCCATTCCAGTGCCTCACCACCCTTACAGTAAAGAGCTCCTCTCTTATACCCAATCTAAACTTCCCCTGTTTCAGTTTGAACCCATCACCCCTTGTCCTATCACTACAGTCCCTAATGAAGAGTCCATCCTCAGTATCCTTATAGCCCCCCTTCAGACACTGGAAGCTGCTCTGAGGTCTCCACGCAGCTTCTCTTCACCAGGCTGAACAGCCCCAATGTTCTCAGCCTGGCTCCATACAGGAGCTGCTCCAGCCCCTGCTCATCCTCGTGGCCTCCTCTGGCCTTGCTCCAACAGTTCCATGTCCTTCTCATGCTCAGGACACCAACACTGCACACAGTGCTGCAAGTGAGGTCTCACGGGAGCAGAGCAGAGGGGCAGGATCACCCCCCTCGACCTGCTGGTCACGCTCCTTTTGATGCAGCCTTTCAACAGGGGTGCAGGCTGTTGCTGCCCCAAAAGGATGCTAAATGATTCCTTTTGTGCTGCTGAAGTAGCTGTGCTTTAACCTCCAGCCTGTTCAACTCTGGGCAAGGCAGGAGGTGCCAGGAACCCGAGCAATGCCCTCACATGTGCAGAGGAGTCCACAACTGAGCCATCACCCCACACAACACCCAAAGGCATCTCTCACCTGACACTGTTTTCCCCTTATGCAGCTGCGTGCCTCATTCCTCCACATTTACCTGTGGGCTCCTCTTAATCTGCTTGGGTTTAAAGAAACTTGCACTCAAAGCACATGTTCCCAGTGGAAACACAATGGAAATGATCCAGTGTATTCCAGAAACACTGGAGCAGAGCACTCAGGTTACATCCTTGTCCAAACCTTACCTACCTGCCTGTCATATCATACCTATCTAGCATTAAAATATCCCCATGAGGTTTCAGGATTAACACTGTGTGGAAGCAAAGAGAAGTATCTGTGTCTCAGGGCTACTCTTTGAGGAAATGTGAATATGCAGATCTATGTTAATGCAGATTTTATGCACCACTTCAGCAGAGCTGTAAGAACCTGACAAGGCTTTGTTTCCAGCTGTAAGCATAAACTTTGGGAAGGTTATTACCAAGCAAGGTGTAAAGGAAGCACAATTACAGCCACATTAGCCATGGGATCTACTGGGTGGTGGAGGGAAGCTGAGTGCCAGGTCACGAGGGAGCATTCAAAAGCAACCTCAGTGAGCTGCTCTGTGCTGAGGTTTCACTCCTTCATACTTCAAAGAGGCTGAGGGGCTCAATTCTGGGCTCTTATCAGCACTGCCTTGAGCAGAGCAAGTGACCTGATGGCTGGAGCTGCTGTTTTGGCACCTTTCAGGATTCAGATTTCCCAGTTGAAGGGGAAAACAAGAAGTGAGGCTAAACCAAAGCAAAGGGCAGCTGGGTTACACATCCCCAGTAACAGAAATGCCTCCTCACTACAGGGCTCTGTACCTTTGATGAGTCGATACCACTGTTTGCAGACAAGGGCAGCAGTTTTGTGCTCCTGATAGGGCGAGAGGAAGGAGAGGATATATTCCAAAACCTCTTCAGGAAGCTCCAGCATTGATCTGTTGTGCCTGGTCTCTTCCACCTCCAGCTCAGTGTGTGGCTCATCATCTTGCTCCATCGTCCCCTCCACCACGGCGTCTTCTGGATCCACAGCCATGAAACCATCATCTTCACTGTCCGAGGAGCTGGCCATGGCATTCCACTTCACAGCTTCAGGAGGGGAAAGAGACAACAGTGAGCTCACAAGGAACATTAACAGCACCAGTGGCCCCAGTTGGCTGGTTTGCACTGTGGGGCCAGGCAGTGACGGGGAAAGGGATCCCCATGGAATTGAGAGCAACCCAAGGTGAGACATGATGGAAGCAACATCTCTGCAGCCCCTGCTCCCCTGTGAAACCAGTCTTGCCAGTGAGCCTGCTCTGGCCTGGGCAGCACAATGGGGGGAAATATCCCTGTCCCATTCCCCCTTATCACCCCCATGTTTTCTTTTTCTTCATAGAATCCCAGCCTGGTTTGGGATGGAAGGGACCTTAGAGCTCATCCAGCTCCAACCCCTGCCACGGGCAGGGACCCCTTCCACTAGAGCACCTTGCTCCAAGCCCCTGTGTCCAACCTGGCCTTGAACACTGCCAGGGATGGGGCAGCCACAGCTTCTCTGGGCACCCTGTGCCAGCGCCTCAGCACCCTCCCAGGGAAGAGCTTCTGCCTAAGAGCTCATCTCAGTCTCCCCTCTGGCAGGTTAAAGCCATTCCCCTTGGCCTGTCCCTACATCCCTTGTCCCAAGCCCCTCTCCAGCTTTCCTGCAGCCCCTTCAGGCACTGGAGCTGCTCTCAGGTCTCCCCTTCAGGAGCCTTCTCTTCTCCAGGCTGCCCCAGCCCAGCTCTCTCAGCCTGGCTCCAGAGCAGAGCTGCTCCAGCCCTCGCAGCATCTCCATGGCCTCTTCTGGCCTCACTCCAACAGCTCCACGTCCCTCTTGTGCTGCTGCCCCAGAGCTGGATCAGGGCTGCAGGGGGGCAGAACGTGCTGTTCAACACTTGCTCAGTTGGTGCTGGCAGCTGGGGAGGAAAGGACACGCTCCCTCCTGTCCCCCAGGATTTACTGCTGCTGAAAGCTGGAGTATCAAATCTTGTCCCTCCAGCTATTCCGAACATCTGCAGTGTAAGGTAACGCACTGACAGAAATACATCAGGAGATAAATCCACCTTAACAAGAGGCTGAGGCCAATTTCCAGCTGGCACAGCCTGCAGTTACCCCCGTGCTTGTCACTGCAGAACAAATCCCTGGACCTTATTTCCTAGGAAGCAGCTGACCTGTTTTGGGAAGTGGATCCTTTCCCCTTCCAACACCACTGGGTGATGACCATGGGATGGAATATCACTGCACAGGTACTGATAGCTCAAACCAGAATCCCACTCGTGAGGATGGCTCAGGGGATTTCTCTCCCAGAATCTCCCATCACAAATTCCTTTTGCATCCCTTCCCAGGGATGCAGGTTATAAAGAAAGGACCAAACCAGGGCTCTTATGATGGTGAGCTCAAGTTCCTCCTGATGGCATGCCATGTAGGCAGAGGCTGCCCACATGGACCGGGATGATGGAGTGCAGATCAACACAGTCCATGGGACAAATCCCACCTGCAGCAAGCCCAGGAAGCAAACCCACTGCTCAAGAGGAAGACAAGAGGGTGGCCAAAGATGGAATCACCCATGGAACGTGTTTGAGGTTGGAGGCTTCGATGGGCAGCTCCCACAGAGGACCAGCAAGGTTAAAAAGGGTGAACAAGACATGGAAGGGTGAAGTGAACCATGCGGTGTTCAACACATCCATCCTGATGCAGAGGGGTTTAACACGAGCCTCTAAGCTGTTCATTCAACAACATCCCAAGTCACAAACCCACAGAACACTTGAGGTTGGAAGAAACCTCTCTGGAGGGCATCTGGTCCAAGCCCCTGGTCAAGCAGGGCCACCTAGAGCAGGCTGCCTGGACTGTGTCCAGATGACTCTCCATTATCTCAAGGATGGAAACTTCTCTCTTTGGTGACCAGTGACAGGACATGAGAAAGCAGAATGAAGCTGCTTCAGGGGGAGTTCAGATTGGATATTAGGGAAAAGCGCACCGAGAGGGTGGTGGGTCTCTGGAGCAGTCTCCCCAAGGAAGTTCTCATGGCACCAACCCCATCAGGGTTCAAGGAACACCCCAGTGATGCTCCTTGTCACATCGTTTAGCTTTAGGTAACCCTGCGAGGAGGAGGGAGTTGGACTCAATGACCATTATGGGTCCCTTCCAACTCAAGACACGTTCAGACACAGCTTTTAGCCCAACACATTGCAATACAAAGAGGTAGCAGTTTGTTTTTACCAAACTCTCAGTACCACAGAAAACATGGATGGAAGGAATTTAAGTTACTAGTTATAAGGAGTCATAGAATAGTTTGGGTTGGAAAGGACCTTAAGATCATCCAGTTCCAACCCCCCAGCCATGGGCAGGGACACCTCACAGTAAACTATATCACCCAAGGCCTCATCCAGCCTGGTCTTGAACACCACCAGGGATGGAGCATTCACAACCTCCCTGGGCAACCCATTCCAGTGCCTCACCACCCTTACAGTAAAGAATTTCCTCCTTATATCCAATCTAAACTTCCCCTGTTTCAGTTTGAACCCGTTACCCCTTGTCCTATCACTACAGTCCCTAATGAAGAGTCCATCCTCAGCATCCTTATAGCCCCCCTTCAGACACTGGAAGCTGCTATGAGGTCAACTAAGCTGTTGTAACAAGCTGCCAGAGATGCAAAGTGTAGGCACTGTAGTGACAGGACAAGGGGTGCTGGGTTCAAACTGAAACAGGAACCTCAGGTTGGAGATAAGGCAGAAGCTCTTCCCTGTGAGGGTGCTGAGGCGCTGGCACAGGGTGCCCAGAGAAGCTGTGGCTGCCCCATCCGTGGCAGTGTTCAAGGCCAGATTGGACACAGGGGCTTGGAGCAAGCTGCTCTAGTGGAAGGGGTCCCTGCCCATGGCAGGGGTTGGAGCTGGATGAGCTTTAAAGTCCCTTCCAACACAAACCAGTCTGAGAATCTCTCACTGCCTTCCCCAGCTAAAGCCAGGGTTTCCCCAGGCTGGCACGCACACAAGAGCCATGGGAATAGCAGACAGCAGAGCTTCAGAGTGGAAAAGCTTTCCCTGACAACCAATTCCTGCTCAAAACCTGACGTGTGACAGCACTGCTGTGCTTCTGTCAGCCCCAGGGGCTGTCAATCTGCAGTGGAAACCACGTCAAAATGAAACTCCCAGTTCCCATCCTGACAGATCCTCCGGTGTCTCCTGTGTCACAAATCCTTCTCTGAGACAATGTTGTGACAGAGAGGGGCTGGAACCCCACGCTGAGAGCAGCAAACTGCATTACACAGCAGATAAAGCACCAATTCCCAAAGGTTAACAAATGGAAAACTAAGGGGAAAAAAAAGAACAAGTGGAGCTGGGCTAAAAAAACCGATTCAACCCAGAGGGTTGGGACTTTTCCAAGCCAAAGCATCCATCACTGTGAGGAGCACGCACTGATTTCCATCCTGACACAGCATGGCAGGAAGCCAAGCTGCCGGTATTCCAGCCTCGGGATGCGGGGAGGCTGGAGGAAGGCGGGTTGGGAAACTGGAGCAGCACATCCACCCAGGCAGAGGAGGTGTTTCACAACCCAAGAACGTGCTACAAACCCAAACAGGAGCCTGTCTGCAGCCAGATCAGATCCAAGAAGACACCTGCGGGTGACAGTGTGGAGCGTAAGCCTCGGCTCGCCAGGTTCCCACAGACCCGCTGTGGTGCTGAGGTTTGGAAGCAGAGGTTGTGTGTGATTCCCAACAGCTTTTATTTGCCCTTTAAACAACATCCCAAACCTGCTGGAGGATCCCAGCTGGGAAAGGCAGGAATGAACGCCTGGCTAGGAGGGGTTTTCCAATTATTAAATCCCAATTTCATTTCTCTGGAGTAGGTTTGGGAAAAACACAAGTTCATCACAGGCACAATCACAGCTTAGGGGTTAGAACAGCATCCCTAAGGCCAATTTAAGAAGACAGGAGAAGCTGCCTCAAATAGCACATGAATGTGCACATCATAGAATCCCAGCCTGCTTTGGGTTGAAGGGACCTTAGAGCTCCTCCAGCTCCAACCCCTGCCACGGGCAGGGACACCTTCCCCTAGAGCACCTTGCTCCAAGCCCCTGTGTCCAACCTGGCCTTGAGCACTGCCAGGGATGGGGCAGCCACAGCTTCTCTGGGCACCCTGTGCCAGCGCCTCAGCACCCTCCCAGGGAAGAGCTTCTGCCTAAGAGCTCATCTCAGTCTCCCCTCTGGCAGGTTAAAGCCATTCCCCTTGGCCTGTCCCTACATCCCTTGTCCCAAGCCCCTCTCCAGCTTTCCTGCAGCCCCTTCAGGCACTGGAGCTGCTCTCAGGTCTCCCCTTCAGGAGCCTTCTCTTCTCCAGGCTGCCCCAGCCCAGCTCTCTCAGCCTGGCTCCAGAGCAGAGCTGCACATTTTGTCTGGCCTTACCAGACCACTTGTTAATATTATCAGTATTCCAATGCATCCACTTGTTTAGATCCTTGTTTTCGATGTGTTTAAGTGACAAAAACCTCCTCCAGGCTTTCACATCCACCTGGTGCTGTTTTCAGAAGGAAAGCAAGGCCATAGCAAGCAATAAACCCAACTCCCAAAAGACAAGACTCAGTCAAAATAACCCTTCAAGCCTGACCTGTCACGGGTGTGGATTTTACTCTTACGACACAGGAACAACAGACTGGGAATAACCACCCCCGAGGGCAAAGCAGCAAAACCCTGTCCCAGAACTCTGCTCCAACACTGGAAAAGGGAAAAGCAAGTCAGGTAAGAGAGCTCAAGCATCCTAGGCAGCTCCTATTACCAACTATTCAGCAGATGCACAGGAGAGCATCCCATGGAGGTGTTTTTCCTATATCAGAGCAATGTTTCTGTCCCGCTTGCCCTTAGTGGGGATGCAGGAGGTGCTTTCTCACCCATCCTGGCTCTCTGGGTGCTCTCTGCTTGACCAGCCTGGGCTGCAGCTTGGCCAAGGGCTAAAATGAACCTTAGAGCACTCCAGAAGCCGCAGGGAAGGGACTGAAGCAGTTGTGTCTCATCCAAAAGTACAACTCCATTAAGCTGCTGGGATGCATCCAGCAGCCCCACTCTGCTTGGATCGATC